TGTATTGTTTTGTTTGTTCGTTTGTTTACTTTGTAGAACCAGGGCTCGAACTCAGGACCCCGCACTTGCCAGGCAGGCGCAGCGCCACTGAGTCGCATTTCCCGCCCAGGTATGGTTCAATCCATGGTTGCAGGGCTATGGTGAGAAGCCGGCCTCACCGCCTCTCCCTTCTTAAGCACAGCCACCCTTCTGTCTGCAAACGCAAGGGCCGCATCCTCCTTGGGGCAGTCCGCCCGCATACTCCCTACCGGCCGGAGCCCTCCCCTCTCCCGGGCCCCAGTAGACATCTCCTGGGGTCCCTGAGTGTGGATGTCCTGTCGCACGTGTCCCCCATTTCTGCTCGCCACCGCGTTACACTCCCCTTGACCCGTGTTAGCCCTCACTCTGCTTGTTGGTTTTGAGACAAGGTCTTCCTGCATTGCTAAGTTGTCCAGGCTGGGCTGGAACTTGCCACCCACCTGCCTCAGGCTCCCACTCTGACTGGCCACGGGGTCTCTAGCCAAGGGCTCCGGTGGGCCTGAGCCTCAGTTACCTATCGGCCTGGTGGCCTGCACAAGGCCCTGTTTACCTGCTCACTGTCCTGCGGGTCCGTGATGGGGGTCCAGAGTGGTCTTTCTGCTGTCACTGCAGTGGTGGCCTCACCTGGTGAGCTGGTGAGTGACACAGCCATGCACCTGCTTTGCCCGAAGTTGAGGGGCGTGGAAAGAGCGGAAGAGGAAGCCGCAAGGCTGTGCAGACCACTGAGGACGCCGAGGTCACCGCTGCCAGGCTCTGTGGGTCTCAACTCGCCTGCGACAGCAGCCTGAGCCTTCGGGGTGGCTGCAGTTGGTCCCACGGCACAGGGTGTGCGGCGCGCAGGGGACTGTGGCTGTCACTTGGCAACCATAGGGCGGAAGCCGGTTCGCAGTTTTCAGGCCGCCTGGCTGTATCTGGGTCTAATCACCGCCTTATGTGGCAAAGCAGAGAGCCACACTTCCTGCCGTAATGCAGAAGCTGGAAGCCAAGAGCACAGGTAACCAGCGGGATGGGCTTATCCCGGGTACCCCATCCCACCCCTGCAATGTCCCAGCAGGCAGCCAGCGTAAGAAGGGCACAAGCGCACAAGCTAGGCCTGCTGGTACATGTCGGTAATCCCAGTACTCAGGAGGCTGAGACAGGAGGATTGCTGCAAATTTTAGGCAGCCTGAACTCCATAGCAAGACTCTCTCAAAATAAAATTTTAAAAACCTTAAAAAAAAATCAACACCAAGAAATGTGTAAGGGGAACACCAGTGTCACCATAGAGCCGTGTGCTGGCCGTATCACAGGAAGGCTCATCAGGAGCTGGGCTCCCATGTGTCCTAGGAAAGATAGACTCTTGCCGTTGAATATAACAAGTGTCCATAACAGGCATCGGAATGTTTTGATCTGCGCAGATTTGATGGCATCCCTGCGGGTAAAACAGACCGTGGAAATATCACGTGACCTACAGACCAGAGGAACTCCGGGCTTGCCGGCCTGAAACCTGACTTAGTTCTCCCAAGCATGGTCACTGTTCACAGGCTCAGCATCCTCTGTCGGAGTCATGGCAGGGTCCCTCTGAGGCAGGATCTTGCAAAACTTCCTAACTACATATCTCCAAAGCTCCTCAAAGAAGCCCGCAGCCATTTGCTAAGTTGCATGTTGAGGAAAGGAACATTCTCAGATCTTTCAGAGATTATCAAAGGAACAAGGGCTTAGATTCCTCAGCAAGGCCCAAGCAAGTCAGAGGGCGGAGATGCAGGCCTGCCCTGATGAAACTGTTCTAGAGTCATGGACTCCTCACTGCCTGCGCGGTGTGCTTAGCTGGTTTCAGTGGTGGCTAAAGGAGCCATTTTGGCTGAGCCCAGGGGTGGCCAAACTATATTGCCCTTGGGCCAAATCTGGCCCTCCATCTATTTTTCTGTTCTTCTAAATTACCTTTTATTTATCAAAAGTTCTTTCAAAAGGTAAAAATGAAGAGACAATCAGAAGTAATGCTAGACTCGTCCTGGTGCACACCTGTGATCCCAGCCCTTGGGAAGCTGTGTGTTTGAGGCCAGCCCGGGCTACCCTGTGAGACTGTCTCAACACAACAAAGCAAACCAACAAAAGGAAAGTAGCTCTCCCACCTTCACAACCTCGTTATCCAGGCTCCCTCCTCCAGGGCCTCCTCTCTTACAGACCTGCTTTCTCCCCAGATGCTGACAGTCTCTTCATGTGTTCTTGCCTAACCCAAACTCATGCAGACGTACTCCTGTGATTTTCTTCTAGTAGTTTCTAGTTTTATAGTGTTAGTTCTCACATGAAGTCACATTTAGGTCTTTGATCCATTTTGGGGTGTTTTTGTTTTTAGATAGGATCTTGCTATCTAGTTCTGGTTGGCCTTGAACTCACCATGTAGGTCCAGGCTGGCTTTGAACTCACAGCAATTCTCCTGCCTCAGCCTACTGAGTACTGGGGTTACAGTCCTGCACCACGTCCATCTGAGTTGATTTTTGTGTATAGCATGTTGGTAGGGGTCCAACTTTGTTTTGAGACAGGGTCTCACTATGTGGTTCAGGCTGGCCTTGAACTCACTGCGTAGCCCAGGCTGGCCTCAAACTTACTGTGATCCTCCTGCCTCCACCTCTCGAGTGCTGGGATTACAGGCGTGCGCCGCTATGTCCAGTCTCCAACTTCATTGTTTTGCATGTGGCTGCCCAGATATCCCAGCACTAGTTTTTGAAAATATTTTCGCCATTGAGTTGTCATGGCAACTTTGTTAACGATCAGTTGACCATAGATATATTGGTTTGTTTATAGACCCTCGGTTCTATTTTATCTAAGCCTATTTTTTTATTTTTGTCATTTTTGAGGCCGGGTCTCTAAGTTACTCAATTGTCCACCCTGGGCTTGAATTTGCAATCCTTCTGGACTTACAGACATGGGTCGCCATACCCGGCTTCTATGTCTATTCAGTGTTCGTGCCACGCAGTCAGGAACACTGAGCTTCTTAGCTTAGAAAGCAGAAATGTGAGTTTCTCATCTTTGTTGTTCATTTTCAGGACTGTGTTTCGGCTATTCTGGGTCTCTTGTGTTTCCATGTGAATTTTAGGGTTAGCCTCCCCATTTCTATGAAAAAGCAGGTGAAATTTGCATAGCCATTACACTGAATTTTACACTAACTTGAACAGTATTTATATCATAAAAATATTGTCTTCCAATTCAGAAGTACAAGGTATCTTTCCATTTAGGTTTTTTGTTTGTTTTCCACACAAGTTCTCACTATGCAGTCCAGACCGGCCTTGAACTCACTATGTAGCCCAGGCAGGCCTGGAACTCATGATGATCCTCCTGTCTCAGCCTCCAGAGTGCTGGAATCATAGGCCTGCACCACCATGGCTGGATTTATTTATTAATTCCTGTGAGTGGTGTTTTTCAATATACATATCTCATACTTCTTTTATTAAACTCACACCGAATTTTATCCTTTTTGATGCTGTGAATGGAATTAAATTTTTTTCATTTAAATTGCCCATTGCTAGTGTATAGAAATACAACTGATTTTTGTATATTGACTTTTCTGTGTGTGGTAAGGGGGATTGAACACAGAGGGTACTGAACTGCTGAACTACTTTTTAAACTTCATTTTAAGCCAGGGTCTCACTAAGTTGCCCAAGATGGCCTTGACCTGAGATCGTCCTGCCCCCGTCTCCGCCTAGTTCTGACGGATCTTCGTGTGTGCGTGTGTGTGTGTGTGTGTGTGTGTGTGTGTGTGTGTGTGTGTGAGACAGACAGCTGGTTAGTAGGAGGCACCCGGAGGTTAGGGTGTAGACCACACTTCCAGTGTCCTTGCAGTTCGTACAGCTGGAGAATTAAGCCCTGGCCGCAGAAGATGATACGCACCTTCGAGCCATGCAGGCTCACCCTCCTTCTCTCTGCTACTGACTGGAGTGGACTCAGCCTCTCCACGCTTTAAGCCGGCCCATCTTCGCTGCTTATCGTTTATTCTGTCGGGACACTAATCCCAGGAGTGGGTCACTGCAGGTGCCTCGTGTCCCCAGCCTGTTACCCAACTCTGCTGCGAATGTTTACTTTACCACAGAAGACTCCCGAGTCCGCCTCAGAGCCTCTCCGTTGCTTCGAACTTGCCCATCATCCCTGCCGCATTCCGAAGCGGCTCTGGATATCCGCCTTCCTCAGAGTCTTTTTGTGGCTGCTTCCACGCCGATTCTCTCAGTGCTGGAGCCACTTCCGCCCCTCTGCCTTCAAGCCCTTTCTTTCGATTTGTTTCCTTCCTTGGGGTTTCAATCACATATACATTAACTCTCTTGCTTGCTCTTTTCTTTTCCTCCCCACTGAGGACTGAACCTAGTATCTCGGCACTGAACTACATCCTCTGGAAGCCCTTTCATTTTTTTAATTTGTGGCGGGGTCTTGCTAAGTTGTTTAGTCACGACTGGAACTTTCCATCTTTCTAAAGTGCTGGGGTTACAGGCCCGTGCCACTGTGTCCAGCTCTTCTGTTTTTTTCAGTACGGGGTTCGAACTCAGGATCTTGCAATTGTGAGGCAGGCGCAGCCCCACTGAGCTACATCCCCAGCCCTCTTTTAACCATTTAAGAAGCAGTTTCCTTTTCCTCTGGCTCTCCCCTTTTTCCAGTGTTTCAAATCCCATTCTGCATTTTCAGCAGCGTCTCTTCCCCAGAACACTCACTTCTATGTTCTCTTCTGTTCTGCTTTAGTGTTTTTCTTCCAGTCACAGCCCAACTTTTGCCAGCTCCCTCATTGTCTGGCCCTTCTCTGCACTCCGGTTTTGTTTCTTCTTGCTGGGGACTGAACCCAGGGCCTGTGTGTGCTAAGCATGTGGTTTTACACCCCCAGCCCTGTGCTCTGGTTTCATGAAAGTTTTTTTTTTTAACTTAAAAATGAAATAGTTAATCAAAATTTCACCCACTTCATGAAATTTTCTGGGACTTTTCTTCAATTTTCATAGATTTATTTTGTTTCTGGGCCAGGGATTTAGCTCAGTGGTGCCATGCCTGAGTTCAAACCTCAGAACTAAAAAAAAAAAAAAAAAAAAAAAAAAATTAGTTTTTTCTCTTCTTTTTTCTCCTGGTATCTTTGCCCAAAGCCCCCACAGATTCTTCTTTGATTATTCACCACTGACCAAGAGGAGATTTCCAGGTGGAGTAAGGCCAGGGCCCTCTCCAAGGAGGGTGGAGGCAGGGCGGGCCATCACCGCCAGGCTGTTGAAGGCAACCCCCCCACCCCTGTCAGTGTCCACAGAGCCACTTGGCAAAGACTATGAGGCTCCCTGGTTGCAGAAGATTCAGAAAATCTTGGTATAATAATTAGGTAACCACTCATCTAGCAAGAAGAGACTTCTGTGGATATGTACAACTGGAGTACAGACTTTTTGGGTTTTTTTTGTTGTTGTTTTTTTGAGACAGGGTTCACTGTGTAGTTGAGACTGACCTGGAACTCACTATGTAGCCCAGGCTGGTCTCCAACTCACAGCGATCCTCCTGCCTCAGCCTCCCAAGTGCTGGGATTACAGGCATGCACCACCATGCCCGGCTTGGAGTACAGACTTTTACAATTAGTTTATAGAAGCCACTAAACAACTGTGCATAGTAGCACAGGCATATCATCCCAGCACTCGGGAGGCTGAGGCAGGAGGATCATATGGAGTTCAAGACCAGCTAGGCCTACACAGTGAGTTCAAAGCCGGCCTGAACTACATAGCTAGATCCTGTCTCAAAAAATAGACAAACAAAAAAGAAGAAGGAGGAGGAGGAGGAAGAGGAGGAGAAGAAGAAGAGGAAGAAGAAAACACTCAATAAGCAAACAATTACAACAAATCCAGGGAGAGAGAGAAGAATCTTATCTCTACAGTTATCAAAAAAATGTGCATTTTTTTAAAAATAAATTGAGAAATGAAATATCTCAAAGACTGTCTTCAGGGCCGGGGATTTAGCTCAGTGGTGTCACCACCTGCCTCACAAGTGCAAGGTCCCGAGTTCGATCCCCGGTACCAAAAAAGACTGTCTTCAGCCAGGCCCAGGGATTCATGCCTGTTATCCCAGGTACCTGGGGAAGACTGAACGTTTGAGGCCAGCCTGGGCAACTTTGTGAGACTCTGTCTTAAGATAAACTCTAAGAAAGTACTGGGATGTAGCTTAGGGTGGAGCGCCTGGCTAGCATGAACAAGGACCGGTCCAATCCCGTGCCGCCAAAAAACAATCACAGACCAAAACCTCTAGTACCTGGAGTGGAGTGTTACTGGGGAGGTGCGACAGCAGGTTTAAGTAGGAAAAGGAATCGGCGAACTTGAAGCGATTATCAAGTCTGAGGAGGGCAGGAAAACGAAGAGAATCTGGTCTGTAGATCTCGGACAGCAGCGCACTGTACAAAATGGGAAGCCTAAGAGCAGAGAAGGCACAGAGACATGCTTGAAATAATGGCCCCAAATTGTGGAATACTGTAAAGAACACTGACCTGCTTCAAGCAGGAAGGACTCACAGAGCCACACCTAGACGCTCCTTCCTCAAACTGCTGTGAGTGTTCAGGCTTCACGCTCAGGCCCGAGCACGGAGAAACGGAACTGTGTGTGTTGTCACTTGGTTTCAGTTTATTAAAACTGCTATGTCTTCTCCATCTTTATTGTCCGATTTCCAGCGGTTTAATGTGGGCATCTTGATTGTTTCATTTCTTCAACAGTCGTTCTGATGTCCTGCGTTTTGTTGCTTATTTCATAAAAAATGTTACTCAGCCAAGAAACAAATCGCCGAAAATCAAAGCCAGAATGAATTTTTTTTTAGTTAATGCAAACAAACTCTATTTATAAAGGACTCTTAAAGTCACTGTCTCATGCCAAATCCCGTTGTGACCCTTGGGCTAGAAGAGATCACAAACTCAAAGCTGTTGAAGCATTTTGGCTAATTAAAAGCTAGGAAAGATTGGGACAGTTTTACACATGGGCAATCAAAAATAAAACAAAAGAAAAAAGATACGGAAGCCAGTCTTCCGGGCGCTGTTCACAAGTCCATCGCTGACCTGAGCCACACTCAGTCTGCGAGAGGCGGTGCCCACGGAGAGGGGCGGAGAACCGCAGACTTGGGCCGTGCCACTTCCACCAGGCACCGTCTGTCTACACTAGGCCTGCTGCAGCCAGAAATTTGGAAATAACAAAACAGAAGCAACTCATACGTGGGGAAGCTGATGAGATTTAACAACTAATCTCTCACCAGGGACTATGGTGCCCTGAAGGCAGAAGGACAATATATTAAAAATGCTGAAGGAAAAAAAAAAGAAAAAAACAAACCCCCCGACAATCAATGATTTTATGCCTAGCAGAGAAACCCTTCAAAGATGAATGAGAAAGCCAGGTGTGATGGTGCATACTTGTAATTCCAGCTACTCAGGAGGCTGAGGCAGGAGGATCGGATCACAAGTACAAGGCCAGCCAGGGCAACTTGGCAAGATCCTGCCTCAAAACAATAGAAAAAGCTGGGGATATAGCTCAATGCTCCCTAAGCTCCACTCCAAAAAGAAAAGAAAAAGAGAGAAAAAATTAAGCCAGTGTGGCAGTGGATGCCTGTGGTCCTGATATAGGAGGCAGGGTGGCTGGGGAGATGAGCAGGACCCGTTGATCTCAGGATCTCAGAGCAGCGTGGGGCCCATCCTGGATATGTCCAAGGTGCCAAAGGGCCGGCCACCGCAGAAAGCCACATTTGTACAGCGGCCTCCGCTGTGTCTGAACATGGTGTGTACTTCTATTTTTGCCTTTACTCTCTTTGTTCAGCCTAGGTCTGCTCTGCAGAGCTGGATTCTCCCATACCCGTTTTACCCTGTACTTTTCAAATAAACTTCTGGCACTGTTTTTGACTTGTTTGTCCAATTTCTCTCTCTCTCTCTCTCTCTCTCTCTCGGTACCAGGGATTGAATTCGGGTCCTTGCACTTGTGAGGCAGGCGGTGGAACCACTGAGCTAAATCGCCAGCCCCCTGGAATACTTTTAACTGGTGAGCCATTCCTAAGAAACTACCCTGTAACAGGTGCTTGAACCCATGAGTTCGAGACAAGCCTGGACAACAGAGTAAGACTTTGTCTCAAAAACCAAAACAAAATGATGTGAAATTTGGAAAATGGCAGATTTAAATTCTATCTTATTACTAATTACATAAAATTTGAATTAATTCAATACTCTAATTAAAAGACAAAGATTAACGGAATGAATTTTTATATTTTATTTATTTTTCTTTTATTTTGAGACAGGGTCTCACTTTGTAGCTCAGGCTGGCCTTGGATTCATAGCAATCCTCCTGCCTCAGCCTCTTAGGAAACTAGGAAAAGAAGGTCAAATTAAACCCAAAGTAAGCCAAGAAATAAAATGATAAAGGTTACAGTGTCCACAAATATAGAATAGAAAGCAACAAAGAAAATTGATGAAACCTTCGTTTGGGTGGTTCTGGGGATGTTCTCCAGGCCTTCTGTTAGGCAAGCACGCTACCACTGAGCTTCTGGCCCAGGTCAAAATCTAGGTTTTGAAAAGATCAACAAAGTTGACAACAGGCACTCGTCTTCTCCCATCATGCAGTCTGGTTTCTGCAGATCTAAGGCTTCAGTTTCTCTTGCTGCATGACACCACCCTCAAACCTAGTGTCTTGAGAGAGCAGCAGCCACTTACTTGCTGAAGATTCTGGGTTTTGGGAAGGGCTTAGAGGGGGCACGACTCAACTCTGCCCCTTGTGGTGGTGTCGGGGATTTCATCCTCGGAAAGTGCCCCAAGATCGGAGCGAGCACAGTAACTGAGACCCCAGGAGTGTATACGCAGTTAAGATAAAGGACTACAGTAGGGGTACCCATTTGAACCTAGAAAATGTTGAGTTAAAAAAGCAAGTTATAAGGCTTTGAAACTACATATACCAAAGAATGCTTCTGACATCAGTAGAGAAAGGATTCCTCGGAAGGATGTTGGGTGATTCACAGAATCGCTGGGGGCTCAAGAACCAAGCCCCAAGATAAACCGCGTGACTGTGTCAGCCCGTGTCGGCTGCCGTGGCTGTCACCAGTGGGCTCCAGGGGAGCGGGGGAAGCTGCCCCTGACACCAGAGAAACCCTGCCACAAGTCTGCCTCCAGCGGCCACTGCTTCTCAGCAACGCCGAGTTAGGCGGAGTTGGGCGTGTGACTGGCAGTGCACACGCGACCTGCTTTGACCAGGGGTTCAAAGGGCTGCATAGCTCTCCTGCCTGAAAAACCCACAGGTCCCAGTGCAGTAGGGCAGGTGGCCGTGGCAACACACACAAGTAGCAAACACAAGATCATTCATGAGAATAAGGCTGCAGCAGGGAGGCACCTCGGAGGAAGGAGGGCAGAGGAGATGGGGACTTCAGTCGAATGCCTAACATGTTCTTAAAAACGAACTCTCTATAACAAAGAGGGCAAAAATGTTAACAGCTAGCTGGGCAGGGTGATGCGTACCTGTAATCTTGGCTATCCAGGAGGCTGAGGCAGGAGGCTCATGAGCTTGAGGCCAACCTGGGCAATTTAGGGAGAGCTTGCCTAGGATAAGGTCCTGGGCTCCATCCCTAGTACTGCAGGAAAAAAAGTTAACACTTGTTTATGCTTGGCAGTGGGTATACGGGTATCATTATCAGTATATTGATCTCTATGTTGAAAATACTCCTGATTTCAAATGAGGTGCAGGCGACTCAGGTCTCTGCAGGGGCCTCCTCCCGGGACTGCTGCAGTGTGAGCCCTTCCTGGATCTGCAGAGGGTGGGCGAGGGAAGCTGTGCTTGGCAGCGCCCACCTCCCTGTGTGGTGCTCTCCGTCCATCACGGCAAGGCGGCAGGGACACGGCGGAGGTTGTGATGTCGTGCTGGCCCGGGGTCTGGGAAGGGGCGATTCACTCCATTACTGGAATTCTAAGCCCCTTAACGCGCCTCCCAAGGTATTATCTGCTTTAGGAAAATCAGACAAAAACCCAAGAGAGAACAAGAAATTCAGCCAAGTGGGGAAGAGACACTGCCAATTGTCACAGGCAATTGTGTGTAGACATTGACGGTGCGTGACCGGCAGAAGAGAACTGGCAAGCCTGCTCCCCCACCTAATGTTCAGCAACAGGAAATCAGTCCCCCTGCCCACCCCGCCCCCATAAATGCTTAGCAAATTATTTGAGGGTGACGGGCTTGGAGGACTGCCAAATTATTCATCAACACCTAATGTTCAGCAACAGGAAATCAGTCCCCCTGCCCACCCCGCCCCATAAATGCTTAGCAAATTATTTGAGGGTGACGGGCTTGGAGGACTGCCAAATTATTCATCGGCCAGGGTCGGCACATGTCTGTTTGGCCTACAGCACACTCTCCAAGTCCAATGTGAGCTTAATAAATGCTAGTCAGTATCACTCAACGACAGAAAACCAAATAACCTAAATAAAACACAGGCAGAGAAATTTGCTACTCACTGTCCACCACATTCCTCCAGAGGTGACCCACAAACTGTCAATAAATAAGCACTTGAAAAGGTGCTCCATGTTACTAGCGACAGGGAAATAACTCTAAAAAATTTTAAGAAGTTTTTATTACTGTGTTCGCAGGACATAATGATTAATTTTGGGGAATTGATACATGTACCCAACACATTTTAATTCTGTATTTCCCCTTCCCCCCTTTATCTCTTGCCTCTTTTTTTTTTCTTGGATCTCTTTTTGTTTGCAAGAGATCTTTCTGTTTCCTATTAGCTATCTTTTACTTTTGCCCTTATTTAAACATTAAAAATTCTTTCATATAAGAGAAACCATGCCATATTTAAGCCCGTGGATCTGACTTATTCCACTTAATATTATGTCTTGAGGTGCATCCGTTTTCCTAAAAATGATTCAAGTTATCCTTTTTTTTTTTTTTTTTTTTTTGGTACCAGGGATTGAACTCGGGTCCTTGTGCTCGGGGAACCACTGAGCTAAATCCCCAGCCCCAAATCATCCTTCTTTATAGTGTAGACCTCCGCTGTGCAGAAGGACGTTTTCTTCGTCCGTTCACCTGCTGACGGACACGTAGGTCACTTCCACGACTGAGCCCTTATGAGCTGTGCTGCCATAAACACGGTGAGTGTAGATCGCTGAGGTACGATGCCTTTGAGGCTGCTGGAAAGAGGACAGGAAGTTGACTGCGGGGACCTGCACATCAGAGCCCTAAGATGCCACCTCAGCCCGTCAGCAGGACAGAAAGAGAAAGCGGTGACTGAGTGCTGGGGAGGGCGTGGGGGCACTGGAGACCGTGCGTCGCTAATGGGCTGTAGGTGGTACAACTGCTCTGGAAGGGCGGCAGTCCCCGCACAGAACCGGCTTGTGACCTGGCGATTTTACGTGTTTTGTCCAGAAGAACTGAAAGCAGGGTCTTGAAGAGATATTGTACATTTACGTTCACAGCTACTTTATTCACAACAGCCCAAAGGGGGAAACAGCCCAAGTGTCCATCGACAGATGAAGGGACAAACAATGGATTATGCAGCCTTCTGAAAGGAAATTCTGACAACGCTACCACAGGGCACGCCAAGGGCCAAAGCTAATTGAAACAATCTGGTTGCAAGAACACAGATACTGCTTGATTCCATGATTCCATCTGTATAAAGGTGTCTAGAGTAGTTAAATTCACAGACTTAGGACGATGGTCACGGGGGTGGGTG